TATTTAATTTTAAAATTTATACAAAGCGGGACGGACCGTGATAAAGACACCATACTTTTTATTTCCAGAATTATTTCTTCTTTATTATGATTATAAATAATAAAATAATATTAATTGGCAATAAGGCGCGATGTATAATATAGATTTTTAAAGAAATTTAAAATTTATGGTAACTGTGGTATCGTTCCGTTTATTTTATGTTGGTAAAAAATAATACAATCTGAACTACAGAATTGAAGTTATACAATTTGAGCAACGAGTAGTACAATTAAATGAACAGTTGGATAATTTGTAAAATGGGGTTCCTCTCTCCTCACCTATTCCAAATATTAACCAACTCAAGTTCAAATATTTATCAACTGAAGTCGGTATATTTATCAACTGAAATCAAAATATTTATCAATACATCACATATAATTATATGAAGATAAACACAATTTATTAATCACTTATTTGTTCCAATAAATGTTTAATTGTTCATATTGTTGTTTTACTAAATGAGAGTTTTCCTGGAGCGATGGATAATGCAATGGATTTATGAAGCCCCAGAGCATTCATCCTAAAAGATTTACCAGAAACATTCTATTTGATTCCAAGATCAATTATGCAGACAAACTGAAATTATTCATATAACTTCAGTAAAGGGTTTATGCATTTCATTTTGTTTACAATACACACACGTTTGCGACAAGTTTTAGATTGTAGATTAACATGTAACCTGGTTCGTCCAACGCGCATCGTTATAGTATTTGTAGAATCCGTAAACCAGAGAATTAAATTAAATTGAATTTTTTATAATCATTTTATATTTCCGCTCGATTTGTAAACAGGATGCTCATTATCTAACAAAAGGAGAAGAAGAAAGAAATATTGAAAGAAACATCAATAGCCTCTAGAAGTGAACCGGATGAAGGAGACAAGTACAGCTATCTTGAGTTACGATAGAGGTCAAAGCTTGAGATATCGAGGTGCTCTCCCATGTTTATTATCCTTATCTCCCTTCTATTTATACACCAGCTATTTGGGTGGCTGCGGCCTTGCCTCCGGATAACAGGGGCCAGGGAATATTGGCCTCTGGCGCGGCGTTTTGCCCTGCGGAATGGTCTCTGGATCCAACGTTAAATATAGGGACAGCAAAACGAACTTGATAACAGTTGGGCGAGTGTTACTCGTTGTTATTCTTCCGATCGGCGTACTTTCTCTTCTCCAAGCGTCGAGAAAGTGTAAGGAGAGTAACATAAAAAAACGGGGTAGTGGTGGGGATAGAAGCTGCCTTCGAAGAACAATCAGCCGAAAAAGTTCGTGTTGTTCTTAAATAATATACCTGAAAACCCTAGTTGAACCCTTTCAGTTTCATCTATCATTTCGAAATAAATATTTTTTTTAATTGAAGAGAAGAATGGTTAGAGTAATCGGTCAAAAAAAAAAAGAAGTAAAAATAAATAAGCATATTTATTTTTGCCAAAGTTACGGCCCAAAGTTTAGGCCTTCATCAGGGCTGGTCAAACGAGAGGAGTTTCCGCAAGACCAAATTGGTCTGATGAAGGCCTGAACATTAGGTCGAAACGTCGGAAAATAAAAAAATAAATACGTATTTATTTTTACTTTTTTTCCTGATCACCCTACTTCTATTTAATTTGCCACTTTTAGTTATATTTATTGGAATTTACACCTTTATTTAATTAATAGAACTAGTAAATGAGAACAATAAAATGAAATGATGTGAACAGACTTGTCTAGATACTTTCCAATGTTAGCACTACCTTTTTTGTCCAATGTTACCACGTATTTGTATACCATTCAATCCAATCATAAAAAAATATAGAGTTATATTAACAGAAATTTAGCACAAAAATATCCTTAAAATAATATAATGAGCCATATAATTTCTGTAAATTCTGAAAAATCTTACTATATATCAGACTGATAAAAATTTTATTAGGAATGGTAATGGTTCAATTTTCATGAAAAACGAAAAAGTTTTATTGCATCCATTTATTATTCAAGTAATAAGCAATTCATTATTTATTCCCGAATAATTAATTAATAAAATAAAACCTTATATACTTTCTTACAGTGTATATAGATGTGTCTGTGTTAATTTTCTTTACTCATCCTTAAGTTTATTATATTTTTATTTATTCTATGTACTTTTTGATTATTATTTAGTCATTATTTTGTTTCAATTTTTTTGTTTATTCACGTTTTCTGTAGATATGATTTAAATTTATTCGTTCCTCTTTATAACAATTGTCCATATTGTGACAGAATGTTATATTACTCAATAATATAGTTTAAAAATATTTACAAATAATGACATTCGAATTCAGTTTTTGTTTGTACAAAACAAAACTAGATTAAAAATTAATAAAAATCTATTTTCATTGCTTAGATTATAAATAAAAACATATGATGTAAATGTTTTAATGTTATTTCGGATTACAGTAAATCATTTTATTATTTACAAGTCTTTTTCAAGACTTCCTACTAAAAATTATTAATACAAAAACAAAGGAGATTTGTAATTAAAAATTCAATTAATTAATTGCAATGAATATAGTATATAATAAAAAATTATTGATGCATTTATCAACTTATAAGAGTTTCCAGCCTTGAATAATCTATCTCTCGAAAAATTAATATTAATGGTTGAAATATTGCGCTGTTGCTCAAATCGACATGAAAACGTTTATGTAAAGATTCTTATTATATAAATATTTATATTTGAATTATATCTTCGGATTGTTTCAACGCCCACCGATAGGCGGCAACGCCCAGTTGAGAACACAGTTAACAAGGCCGTCCCGTAGTTGTTATTTTTACTATCTTCCTGTTTAAAACAGTAGTTTATTTTTCTTAAAATATAAATTGTTCAGGAAAAATGAAGCAAACTAAAGTTTACTTAAACCATAAACAGCTAAGTAAAAATAAAGTAACTTTGCTAAGGCAAAGGTCGACAGACCGTATGCGATGATTTACAATTTTTTTTTTTATCTCTTGGAATTCTGAAGCATTCAAGATTTCTGAGCTATTGAAAGGATGGATAAGCGATTGGGTTCTGCATAATATATCAAAGTAATTTAAGCAACAAAGCAGAAACGAACCAAAGGATCAAGAGTCAATCTAAATGATTATCGGATAAAAAAAAAATTAAAAGTGCTTTGTATAAAGCCGCAAAATCAAAATTAAAGAGCTCCCGAAACTTCCTCGAGAAAGAAAATAAAACAAACAATAATTGAGAGGGACGAACGAACTCTCAACCTTGATACCGTCCAGGAATCTGGGCAATGACTTTTTTCAAGGTGATTCGGCTTGATTCGGTCCCCCGTGAATTCGACTCCTTCCAACAGACGCCAATGATCCGAGTCCTTTCAAAATGTAACTTCGATAATATCCAATAAGATGTTTTTTTTTAATTATAAAAACGAATCAAATTCACCTTAGTCATCTAATAAATAAAATCTGTGTAACTCAATACTAAACAATTTTCATTCCAATCTTATGATTCACAGAATATGAATCAATAAGTCTATAAATCCACAAAGTTCATCATCTATATCATTTAGCAACCGTGTTACTTTATTTCATGGGATCTGAAATATGGTTCAACTCTTATCTTAACAAAACACAAATGAACCTTTCATTACAAGGGGCAATCAAATGGTATGCATTGTATTCCAATTAGCAATGCAATTAGTATCCTAATTACTCTCAATGATTAATTGTTAACCGATGAAATTACTATTGGATGAAACCACTTCTCATTAATTAGTTGATTCATTACTCCAAATACTGACTGAATCTGACCCCCATTGCAATGCCCTAGTCACCAGACTAATAGTAACTAAAGTTGAAGACAAAGGGCAGGGCAGAACTCTAAGGTTTCAGCACAGTTTCAACAGTGTTGATTCATAGCTTTTCTGTCAGAGTACAGAATTAAGCAGAGTAATACTTTTTTAAATTTCAGGGCTGATGGCTTAGCTCGTTTGATTTGAATAATGATTTGTAAAAAAGTAACTATCAAGAATTATTTCCTTAATGTCGTATACTATGGCTAAAATCGACCTGTTTTATGACAGAACGGAAATAAACTTTTTTTTGGGAATTGAAACGTTTTAGGAAGGCACATCAGTGCTTGACTTCTTTGCTATCCTCTGAAATAACAGAATATTAAACTTCAAGTGATCTTTTTCGAAATCGAAGGTAAATGATTAGGTTAAGTTTTTGAACCGCTGCGTCTAAATCTAAAGGAATCTATATTTATCGTAGCCGTTATTGCTTCGAAGTATTTCATAATTCGACAGAGGATAATGGAGGTAATATACAACGCTAACATGACGTGTTAACACGTCCTATGCCATGTAATGTAATGCAATGTAAATAGCAAAATAATCGTAATATAGAATAGATGGCTACATCCTACGATGTCGTGTTCTGTCGGAATGTAATTTAACTCTGTCTGACGCGTCAGTTACAAATTTCGTCAGCTAGCATCAGGCTGTCCAGCCATGAACCTCGAAGAGTGAGTGGTTAATTGAACGTGTTACAAATTATCTAATTTTATTTGATCTCTGAGAAAAGTGTTATAGGAATAGAAATGTCCATCGTAATGCGTGGGAGGAATAGTACAAATCCATTAGTGTTGTTTCATTTAAAAGTAAATAGCAAATGATTAAGTTATTTATTAGGTTTTACAAATTATGTTACAATGAACCGATACCATAACGGATACCATTCGATCATTGATCATGTAAAATAATGAAAAAAAAAATGTTGAAACTCTATGTAAATCGATAGGTCACTTATTTATGGATTCCAACCATTTTCTGATAGAGTAGAGAGCTATTAAACACTAAAATTTATTTTTTCCTTTAATAAATAGTTAAAGACAAGAGATATAATTTAATTCTTGAGAAAATTAATTCTGGATCAGACAAGAGAAGCATTAGGAACCGGTGCTATGCGCTCTCTGTGGGATAAGGCGTAAACAATTGGGACATATGACACTTGACCATCCGACCTTGGGTCTAGGGTCACAACTGATCCAGCGATTTGCCCTAATGAGAGAGGAGGAGTGGGCACGGGCGTTGCCAGGAAATATACCATTATACCTCTTGAAGGAGTCAGGCGGCGTCCAAAGGCGTCAAGTCGAGCGTAGTCGACATGTCTCCATTTCGGCGCAATCGTCGAATCAATCGAATCAATTAATCGTGTATTAAGGCCATTCTACAAGGAGCCGACCCGTCCAGAGACAATTATTTGTTTGACATTATTTCGTTCCTGCGCAATGAACCAAAACTCAGTGATCGCAAAATTTCTAAACAATTTTAATACTTGTATATATATGCATAAACAGATTATCCCTGACAGTCTATGTAGTATCTCTAACTCTACCCCAGTCTTTGGGTATTCTTTAGAACAGTAAAAATATTGCCTTAGATTTATCTCTTTTATTGTAAATATTTTTTTATTTAATTTATAAATGAATTAAAAATACAAATAAATTTTCGATCTGATCAATGTGATGTGACTATGTCTTGTAAAAAATCTCTCCATTGCGGACATTAAAAAGGCAATTGTATGTTTAAAAATCCCCCAAAGCTGTTTTCAGTCTCTTCGGAATATTTTCATTTTAATTCGAAATTTTTGGTTTGATAATTCATAATTAGTAAATTGAATTATGGATGTTTTCCCAATGATTATATTTGATTTATCAAGTTATTTTTAGCACTATTCTGTTTAAATTGAAGATTCCAAAAACTAGTTAATTAATCCAAGAATTATAGCTGGTTTTTGCGCTTAGACTGTTGGGAATTTTCATGATGGAATGTTACATGGCGTCATAAGATGACTCCCCCACCTAGCCCCCCCCATGCCACGAGCAAGGTAATGAATGAGTTTGTCCTTCAATGTTGATTGTGTAACATCAAGTGGGTAAACGGTGAGGAAGTAGAATTGAATGATGAATCAAACAGTTAAAATATGTGACCCGGAGTTGGTCTGACAACACTGTAAAGAGATATTTTAAAACAGAATACATGAATAACAAGCGGAAAATTCGCTAGAAATACATTTAAGTACTTTAGTTTATTAATTAAATGCATTTAAAAAAAAAAAGTTTAAAAAAATGTGCTGTTGTTTGGCAAGAATTATAAGCGTTGTACTCTTGCGTTTAGTAGGGGGTTTAGGATTAAATTTTGGAGGTCTAACACCAGGGGTCTGGGGATAGACCTGAGCAACAGAGGCCCACACATTTGTTTTTTTATGCTATATGATTGCAAAAGAGAGCATATTATAATTACGTTTAAGTATTTGGGTCTGATCCTTCATAGAAACAAAAATAAACCATTGTAATTAAATGTCATTAAAAAACAATAATAATATATTTTTTGTTTCGGTGTGACTTCAGCCCAAAAGATGAACCTGCTAGTGATTATAGTGTGTATTATGTCGGAAAAATATTCGTATTAATTATCTGGATTGAAGCCCTTATTTTAATTTATTTCGATATAAATGGTATATATTATTAGAAGTAACACAAGAACCTCCTAGAGAACTGGTTTGGCGATCAAACAACCGAAACTGAGAACAAATATTGTGTACTGGTATGAATTTGTTTAAGATGATTTATTTTAACTTGATTCTTCATTATCTTTGTTTCTATTTATTTATTCTGTCTGTACATCAGTAGCGGATTCCGGGTCTTTTTTTGGGGGAGAAGAGGGGTGGAGGAAGAAGGCTTTATTTTGTTTAATTTTATTTACTTTTTCTCTTTCATATAAACGGTAATTAGAAGAAAAGGAAACTATATAAAATGTTTAAGTGGTATTTGTTCAATACTTCATTTTTAGTGTGTATAGTGACCATTAAATACTTAGTAATGAGTAAAGTTTCGTCTTCAGTTTCTTGTATACCTTTCTAGTACTATTTCAACTAAATCTTATATAAACTGTTAAAACTTGAAATTTACTCTGAAGGTAGTGTTCAGTTTCGTAACGCAACGCTTTTGACAAAGGATTACATCACAAGATATTTTTTTAAAAGGTTTTTTTTTCGGATACCAAATAGGTTTTCCTACTCTAAACTTCCATTGAGTGGATCTAACCGACTTCCTTGTGTTTTTTTTTGTTGTTGTTTTTTTCATTTTATTTTAAGTAAAAAAGTTTAAGTGTGGAGGGACCTGTAGGTTATGTACAACCGATATCGAAATAGTTGGTAAGAGTTCCGATACGTAAGAAATAGTAGCAATTAGTAACTGTTGCCCAAAACCGGTTTTTGCCTCAGTTGAAGGGAAGGTCCTACAGAATCCTCCACCACGGCCGTCGTAAACACCTCCTTAGGTTCTCACTAAAACATCGTAAAATTCTTTAGTTTTTAAACCAATTTACATAAAAGAGGGCTAACATCTGAAGAATTTTTTTCCTATGATATGAATTGTTGATTTTTCTGGGTACAATTAATAAAAACACAAATGGATGTAATATAGCTCTACTAATAAATCAGGTGCTTTCTGAAATAAGTGTTAAATTTGAACTATATACATTTGATATATACAATTTTACTAAAATTATTTTAAAAATAATTCAAGATCGATCTCTAATTAAAATTTATATTTAAATTATCTGTATAATATTATATTATATCTAAATTTTAAATATCTAAAAAATAATTAATCAAGAAACAATACTTTAGTAGTTCTTTTTTAGAGACAGTAAAGTAGTAAGAAAGTACATATTATCATCACATTTTGAAATAAATTAAAAATTGGTATCCATTTGTTATTGTTTAAACTTTTATTTATTTCTACATGTTGAATGCCTTATATGTTATAACACCTAAAAAATAATGAATAGAATTCCTCATTTCTAATGTTACCATATTCAAATATTTCATCACTCTTTTATACAGAAATTCGCTATTGCACCAATAATAAAATAGGTGCGTATGAAATATGAAGGTGTCTTACGTTCGATGTAATTCAAAATGGCATCATAATACCAATGATATCTCTCAATATATATATATATATATATATATATATATATAGAGAGAGAGAGAGAGAGAGAGAGTGAGAGAGAGAGAGAGAGAGAGTTTATCATTACACAATCAACAGTAGCAATAGTTCTTATTATGAATTCGTTCGTACGAAATATATACCTCATTAATTATTTAATAACATAAAGATAATCCAGCTCTGAACCAGAATGAAAAAAAAAATAGATACGTAAATAACATAAATGAGAAGAATAAATTCATATATTCTTATACATATATAGTATAAACACATAGAATATATATTTTATGTATACAATTTTAATATATTTTTCTTATTCCACAATGTTATCTCACTTAATATTTATTGTTTTCATTTTTATTATTCATTAGTTGTTATGAAGGCCTGTTAATAATGTTGCCCAAATGCGAGACCAAGACGAGTATTGGTCTTGCGCACTCAGTCTTGGTCTTGCACAAGAGTCTCGCAAAAGTCAGGCAGTTACCTAACTAAGCCCGAATGAAAAATTGGAAGATTCATATGCAAAAGTATATTGGTTATACCAATTCTTTACATATAGTAACTAAAATAGTCCAGTATTAGTAAGTATTTTGCCTAAATTTTTATTCGCAAAAACATTTCTTTTTTTACGAGTTTTGATCTGGGTCTTACAAAGTGCAAGACTGAGACCGATTTTGGGCAATACTATCTATTACGTAGGGAAAACGTCATTATAGATTAGGTTACTTCTAATCACATCTCCTAACATCATTTCTTTAATAACTATCTTCAATTATCAAATGTACTAATGTTCTTGGGTTAGCTTTTAGCGTGTTGATGGCTCTATTCTGTTATACGGTGTCCCATTTCTCCCATACATGTAGAAGGGCATTGGAAATATTTTTAATTGAAAACCGTTGAAATAGTATTTTCATAACTAAAATAACACGATAATGGCCCAAAATTTAACCCAAACAGCTATGTTTTAAAGATATTATATAACTTGTAACGAATCCAAAATAGATACAGACTAATTGAAGACAAAGACAAACGAAAGTTAAGAGCAACTACGGTCCGTTGCTCTTAACTTTCGTTAACCGACTGGGTTGGCCGTCGTGACTTTCGCTACCCGATAAAGACCCAAGAATCAGACGACGCCTGCGGGGAAAACCCATCGGGTGATACCTTGAACCGAGTCTGTAGAGAAAAGTGATTTTCACTGGCTGAGCAATCACCCCCACCAGCGGAGTGGAAAATCGGGTCTACAAGGAGAGGGGGGGGGGTGAGTGGCCGAGAATACAAATATCAATGACGACCCCAAGGTCGGGAGGTTCAATGACCTCAAAAAATATTTGGCAGTCCTTCATCGGTTCATGCCGGTCGACGCATGGCTCTATTCCCGTATTCTTATCCACGAAAGCTACAATTCCATGCCAAAGCCATTGTATCATATCCAACTGTTACGTGTAAAAATTAATAACAATATACATTAATTATTGAGCGTGAGAAATAAAAATAAAAAAAAGGGAAGTAAGTTACTTAAATTATATCATTGGTAGATTCCAGGAGTGCCTAGAAGAGATTTTATGCGGCAATTCGGTCCATCAAAATTTTTTAGGAAAGCACATTTTTACTGAAATAAGGGTCTTCGAAGTAACTATATTTTTGTGGAGTTCCAATTATGGGAGGAACCATCAACCAGGGAACAAGCAGGAAAACATGAAACAGGCCACAGCCAGTGTAATTTACATCGTCTACATTTTATAAATTCTACTTTCGCTTACTATTTAAGAGGAAGAGAGCAATACATTGTTTCGAATCATGCATCATTGACCTTTGGGGAGGAGGGGCTAACCCGAGTAGAGTCGAACCAAGAGATGATAGAAATGTTGGTATTACTGCAAGAAGCAACCCTTTTTTTGGTGCCCGACAGAGCCTAAATGAAGTTTTAAATGTTCTGCCAAGCCCCATACCAAAACAAACCATTCGTAATCGTTTGTGGGAAGTTGGTCTAACATCTTATGTCTCTTTAAGACGATATGCAGCAAGAGTACGTCCCCGACAACTCCGCAGATCATGGTGCAGCGAGCGCCTAGAAAAGGATAGAAATTGGAATGCTGTTAAGTTTACAGACAAACATCTTTTACAAAATTTCCGTATGTCAAGTATAACCTTATTTATATTAATTTTCAATGTATTTAATGATGAAGATAAAATACAAATTCCACAGAAAATAAATCATACATACTAGCATCATTCCTATTCATTTTCGGGCAGTATATTTTGTGAAGCTTGTCTTTTTTAGACAGTCAATATGATAAGTGCTGCATCTGATTTGATTTTTTTATGATCTCATTTTTTTTTTCTTTCTAGTTGACTGCTTAGTAATTTTCTGCTATTTTATTTGACACTCGAGACTTCATTTTGAAAGTTTCCAATAGCGTTTTAATATTTATAAGAGCAAAATGACTTCAGCGTTTTCTAATTTACCATGTCTTACAGAAACGGTACCGTCTAACCGTTACCGTTACGTTACCGCCGCGGTCGGGCGATTACTGTGGATCTTGGAACCGTAGAGTCCGGGGCCTCGGTAAAAATCATAATATGAAAGTTAGGTTATGTAAATTACAAAAGAGCTTCTCATATTAGCATATTTATGAAAGGAATCGTGTATTCATGGTCCTATAAAAACGTAAGTGGTTATGAATAATTCGAGTAACAGCATCGCAAAGTTTACAAAACGATTACGCCCAGATTTTTAAAAACAGACCACGCGAAAGGTTATCCGTTCACGGCTGGATAAATATTTAGTGCCTAATATGGGGCAGTTTGGGAATGGGGTGCACCCCTTTGTATTCAATACCCTCTTTGGGAAAACACGGTAGTGTCAATAGTTCAGAAAAATGCCCGGAGGACTCGTGGGAACAAAAATATGTTTCTAAATTACACTTGTTGAAGCAATCACATCTCAAGGAAACAAATATAAGTATAAGTATTTTTATAAAGCCAGCTCTGATACACAGATGCGAGACTTGGACATTGACCAGCACCATAGAAAGAAGTATTGAAGGATTTGAGAATCTGATTGATACAGAAACTAATCAATCACTATATGAAAAAGTCCACTAGCGGCAGAAATGAAAAAGGCTGATTAAGTTACCTAACTACCTTCAATTTTTGTAATGCCAAAAGAAAAAAATTATAATTTTATTGCTTTTATATAGAATATAACAACTTATGAAGTACAAATAAAGTAAAGATATCTAAAAACACTTTTCTAGATATACTTTATTAAACCAAATATAATGATAAATATAAATAAATTAAACGGAAATATTGCTAGAATACATGGACATTTATTGTTTACACGCAGAAAGGTCCTTAAAGAGGAGGGGAAAGGACTTTTACCTCTCTCCCTCCCCCCCCCCAATAATTTTAAAACAAAAATTTGAGAATCTACTTCAAACTGTGAAAATTATGGTCCGATGTTTTACTCAAAGAGTACCTTAATTTTTTTTTTTTTTTTTTAACTTTTATTATGATATTTACAACTGTATTAGTATGAATACATCAAGTAAATACCTTAATTTAAAACCAATACAAAATCCCTTATGTTCATAAATTGGAATTTTATCAGTGTTACGTTTGAAAAGAAAAGGAGATTATTTTTAGTGAAGGAAGTTAGTCGACTCTTCTATATATCATGGGTAATGTATAGTTATGACGCAGTCATTTTAGATTTTTATTGTTGCCGACGTTTGAGCCCAAGCATGTGGGTCATCATTCTTTTTTCAGCCCTGATGATGACCCACATGTTTCAGCCCAATAGTCACCTTCCTCACCGTGCATTTTCCAATGTTATATTATAAAATACAACAAATGTCTTAAAACATTGAAGTACTAATATATTTCCAAATTTACCAATCATTCCAATCTTCCGAGATGCCTGGAGCTATCCGAAAGCCACAAGAGGGTATCGACTGCATCAACAGAACAGCAAAAATAAATGAGTTAAAGTTGAATGCAGATAAAACTAAGGCTCATCGGGTTCAGACATCTTATCAGTTTCCTTTCTTCTTCACCTCAATAACCGTCCGTTCCATTTTTCCCTACAGTCAAAGACCTACGAATAACCTTTAAATTAACCTTAAAAAGGATAACCATGTCTCCAAGATTATTGGAAAATCCAGAACTCTCTCTAAACAATTCATGAGATTTCGTTATTGTATCCCTCTAAAAACTAGACAGCTCCTTGTAACCTCCCTCGTTTTCCCCCACTTCGACTATGGTTATTTGGTGTATGAAGGCTATCTGCCGGGCTGGAGATGAGACTCAAGAGACTCATGAATACATCTTTTGGATTTCCAAGCGTTGGACTTCCAAGCGTTCTTACTCCATCCCAGAATAATGATCATAATTATGGAATTCTGTTATTGTTTTTAGGGGACTGTAGTCCCAAAATAAAATTATTTTTTTCAGTCATATTATTACTACACAATATTAAGTACTATCCCTATATAAAATTTGTTATATTACGTCATATATCTTAAAGATGAGGGGTTTTGAAGATTTAACTATTCGAAACATTGTTTATCACATTTTAAATTTTAATACTGAAAAGTAGACCAAAATGTAGGTAGGAGTAGTTCGTTAAGTCTCGGAATTACACAGCGGACTGTTTGCTCTGCCGATATTCGTTTATGATCATTAAACGGTTTCAATCATATGACCAAATTGAGATAACTGGGTCGAAACTCCAGTTATATTTATCCCGTATCATAGGGAGTCAATTAGATATTTAAAATAGTGAAAAGAACCAAATCGGGTGTTTGTAAAAATAGAACAGACATGTGTAAAACTAGGTCAAATCTGTAGCCCTCAAGTTGGAGAATTTCCTTCTCTTCCTGATCTAATAATAAAGGCACTGGCTGGCAGAATGGCTGTAGCTGATGTGAAATTTAAGATCTGTTTTTTAAATATATTTCCGATTTTACAATTCAATGACAGATTAAGCTTTAACTTTCCTATATTTATCTTTAGGACGTTATAAATAAAAGCCTAACAATTTTTTATCACAATTTTTATCAATCAAAGTCTAAATTGAGCACAGTTTAATCTATTTTATAATAATATAAGTAAAACAGACATAGAACGAGTAGTTACGCATTAATTTGTATATATTTGGGCGGATAGGTTCATTCTGAGGGAAATTTAAAAAAATGTATTGGAAACGCTTTCTAGAACTAACACTTTACTGGGGTAAAGTATCTAAGAAGATTTTGTTGTCTTAATAAATGTTTTGTTTTTTTAAATCATTTAATTAAATTTAAAATGTAATTAATTTTTAAACAATGTAAATCACTGATTTATTATACAACCTATAATTTATTAATTATATAATTTTAGATCCTGAGGAGGGAGTCAAAGTATCTCCTAAACATTCATACAAAAGTAATGAAAAAAAAAAAACAATAAAATTAAGAGTGTTTATTCGTTAAATTAGACCTATGGGCAAAAAGTAAAAAGAAAATACTTTGATTTAATAGATTAAATTAAATTAAATCGCTTCAAAAGTAATTAGCTAATAATAGTATTCGTTTAATTGTTTATTAGAAAGAGTATTTTATTAGAACGAGACATCCGAAGAGGATATGAATACCAGAACCATATATGTTTTTGGGATTCGACTTTAAAACTTATATTATATTATTATTACTAAAAACCTAATTAAGTATGAGTTTGGAAATTGATAACCTGGAATTTCCTTACTAAAGAAGATAATTAAATATATTATTAATTATTCAAAACTAAATAATATATAGCAAGAAATTATTTCCACTACTATGATTTTTCTATACAACTATTAAAATGTTGTCACTGTTCTAACCATAATAATGGACTGGAAAGTTTATACTGCAACCTGGAAACAGTTTCGGATGATGCTATTTCTGTACGTTAAGATGACTGTATTTTTCTGTGCTATACTTAGCAGCGAAGGAAATGCCAATTTCACAGTGTTAGAAGCCAAGGAGAAGGGATTCAGATTTTTTTTATTTTTTTTACTAGATCTAGTTACCTGTTATGCTCGAACGTCTCGGACATCCATACTTGGCCTTCATCGTGTTAGGATAGGCTTACAGTGTCTTCCATAAAAAGGTAAAGCATTAAAAAAACTACCATCTTAAGTTACAATACCACCAAACCTCAGGCACCGACCTCTGGCGCCTGTTCATTCCAAAAGAATACAGAATTTTATTACAATATTCATTTTTAGTTGAAGAATTTAAGTAACTGAGTTCTAGATAGTAAAGAGGAGATAAAAATTCGAAGAAGGGAAATACTGGTTATCTGCCTTCAAGATTAGTTCCTGGACTGGCATATCAGATATTTAGGGTCAACAGATTTTTATCATGAAGGTCACAGAGCCATCTCTTTTTCAGACTCCGCATGGTGGAAGAGATAACTAACTTCGTTAAACTAAAATACCTTTAAATATGAGGATTGGTGTAAAACTACTATTTAATACGATGTAAAAAAAAACATTGAATCAGTTTTGAACATGTAATTTCGTATGTTCTTATTGTTGATAATCATACATCAGGTTATGATATAATGACAAGATTGAGAAATTCAAGGATTTTTTTTTCCATTTTTTTCGAAATTTCTTTCAGAGGTTCAATGAAAACCTCATCTCAAATAACATATTGGGTGAGGTAAAAATGTATTGTACAAAGATTTCGTTTATTACAAAAGTCTTGTTTTAACTGAAATCACAAATCTGGGAAAAAGCATTTTAACTGAAAAAAACAATGGAAGGTTTTCAGACTAGAAGGTTTCGAGAAAATAACTCAAGAAAAAAAAACATCTAAATGAATTAAATATTTAGCAAGGCATAAAATAAGTACTTCTCTCTTTCTCTCTCTTCCCCTCTCTCTCTCTCTCTATATATATACATATGTATAGTGGTATAAAAGGTAATATAGATTAATAATAAATAATAACAATAATAAATATTATTAATATCAGCTGAAGATAAATAATATTTAAGAGCCGAGCTAAGGTGACATAGACCACTCCTTGCTTACGAGGTTAATGTTCACTAGTCGTGAGTCCTTGATAACCACCTCAGCAAATGTGACCAGCCACAAGGGAATGTCTATTCTCTGTCACACATTCACTGCCTTAGAGCTGTATTATATAAGATAATTCTCAACAACGAAGTGTTCTTGAGAACGTTTAACGATTTAAAATAAAAATCAAACATTTATTCCCAAAACTCAAAACCTAAGAATAATATTAAAAGCAGAAATAAAAAATCTGCGATGTTTGAATTGCTATATATTTCTTGATCAATTTAATTCATGTTATAGTCATCCTACAGAAAATAAACTGATTTTTTTTTTTCGCTGTAACTCGTTTGTATTCAAGGGCTGATTAAAGCGAATCATGAACTACTCTCTGAGATTTGACTCCAGTATTAAGAGACGGTTTCATGTGTTCCAACTTTTTGACTAGTTAAAAACATCTTTCCTATATCGAGGCTCCTGCACTTCAAACTCTTGATCCACCACCCACAGAAAAACAGATCTCGCGTTTCTGACTCCTATATCCCTTCCCACATAATAAAAATCTTTGAACGTTCATTTCTTGCCTGATCCTCAGCCTCCAGGGATTCCTTACCTTCAACTCGAAAGCCCCCCTCCTCTCCCCTTCCATTGATAATAATAGTTATTGATCTTAATGTGTTAAGTTCAAATATTTGACAAAAAAAAAAAAAAAAAAAACTTTTTATCTCAAACAAAACATTGATGCGTTAACTTATAACTCAATTCGTCCTTGTTCTGATTAACGGACTGAAATCCTGTGGGACAACATGTTTTCACTAATTAGACTTTTCTACTAAAAAATGGTCATTTAACCTTTTAAAAATTACAAAAATACTTGGCTCTTATGAATATTTGGTTCATACCCTGCTTGTTATTTAAGCCATTATTATAAATATTTGTTTCTACGAATACATCGTTTTATCGCTTGATTCCCACATTTAGTAGTACTATTTAGACAGTTGGTAACATGTCTCATTGTTAGCTCACGTGTGTAAGTGGGGAATAAGATTACCCATCTACTAATGAGGGCACATTTATTGTAGGCCGTTAACGACTGATGAAGATATTTTCACGTTCGCCATGATCGATAGTAAACATCACATCAGGAAAACGCTGATGGACTAGTTAAGTTTCAAGTGGAAAAGCATTTACTGGAATTACACACATTTGGATGTCGTATCTATCGGCTGAAAAGATGCTTAGAGTACTTTATTATGGACACCTTACTTTGTAGTAAGATTCATATTCCTTTGAGTATGGAGGAACATGAGCTAGTCAGATTCTCTTCTGATATTATGCCTGAAGTCTTGTGCAAGATTTTTTCTTATTTGTTCAGGAGTGAAATCATCCTTTTGGATCCATCGCTTGGAAGAGGTTGCCGAAGAAAAAATAGGAGGTTGAGAGACGGGGGGAGATTGCGGACACGGACCTGGGTTCAAGAAACTCGGATGGCCCGGCCTTGAAGAAGCCAACCGGCTCCGACCATTGGCGAACATTGTCAGCCGGTCCATCCAAACTCCAAGCCCCCCCCCCCACCATCAGGTAGCGGTCTCCTGGGGGGGCATCGCGTCATTGCACTGACAAAACCAAGCATTCCGAGTTTTCCGAACGTTCTGTGGCCTCTAATATCGAAGCAAACTCAGAAGAAGAAAAAGATATGGAAGTCTTTAGAGCGGATTTTTTTATTTTTTTTTTATGAATTTTGAGGAAAAAGTTATGAAGAAAGGGTAATTTTACATGCGCATAACTCAAAAAGTATCCAATTAATTAGTCTATCGAGTTTGAAAGGTTTCCAAATATATTTTCATAAATATTTAAAATTTAATTAAGGATCACTAAAAATAAAATGAACTACCTTAATTAAATTCAATTTATTTCCGATTTACTTAAATTTAGCTATGAAAAAGACACAAAACATTTTATGGCATGGAAATCCGTCTGTCGGAAACATTAAACAATATATTACTGACGCAGTAGATGATAATTGCATTTTACACATTGTCTTGGGGTGCTTTTCTTGCCTGCTAACCATCATTCTAGAAATACAGCAATTGAAGTAATTCAACGCAAAACTTTTTGGTTAAGTATCGGTGTGATTTGGCGAACAAGTATTCATGTAGGTTTGATAGCTCATTAGAAAGTTTTTCTTTATGGAAAGACCATTTGCCAAAATTACGGTTACCAATTGCTCGGCATGATAAGCAACAGTGTGAAATGGTAACATTAAATTCCAGTAAATTTCTTTTGTTCAAGGAATTAGATCATGATCAAGATTTTAGACTGGTGGACGATTGCTTTTAGGATTTAACACGGTGTGAATTAAGATGAATGTCATAGCTTCGATACAAACTTCTTTATTTTAATAAGCCCTCATGGCTTGATAGGTAGTGTTGCCCAAATTGCAGCAGTTACCTTATAATTGCAGTAATACGCTTCAAGCTTATAAATATAGAGATATTACTGTATTTTTTTAGATAGAAGAATCCTAACTAAGCCCCAACGAAAAAATAGAAGAATTAAATGCAAAAGTATATTGGTTATACCAATTCTCTACACATATTAACTAAAATTGTCAAGTATTAGTAACAATTTTGCCTTAATTTTTATTCCAAAAATGTTTTTTTTTTTTTTTTACCAGCCTTGGTCTTGGTCTTTGGGCCCGATTTTGGGCAACACTATTTATATGGAAAATACAAATTGTCCACTTTGCAACCAAGACGTATAAGTGTACTTTTTCCACTTCTTAGCCGAATGTTCACTTCTCAGTGAAATTCGTATTAGGTTTTTAAGTGCAAGTAGTGTTTAAAAAAAAAATTATTTTTTATTTCTCTCCTTAAGTTTGTCATACGTTGGCTCATCATTATCATTTGATCCCTCTAATAAATAAATAAGGTTTATCAAAATTATTTTTACTCTCATTGTAAGCACTTTTATTTATGTTAACTTCGATTACTCTCATTTTTCTTTTATTCTGTTTTTTAAATGGAAATCAATTATTATCCTGTGTTTTTGTATTCTAAATTTTTATTTATTATTACAATATTATTAATAATTGTTTATTTATTTATTTTTTATAGATTTATTAATTAATTTACAAGTTAATTATTATATAGTTATATCATGTTTTTAATATAATATTATTGTAAACATATGTATATTCAAGGCTATTTAATTTTGATTATGTATTATTATAAATCAAACTACGCTATTGATATAAAAATATAAGAGAATTAAATATCACAGTGGAGAATATATATATATATATATATATATATATATATATATATATATATATATATATATATATATAAACCATTGAAAATATAAACAATAGATAAATAAAAAAAAAGTGTGGTATTATGTGATTGTAAGCAATTGAGGCAATGTGAGAGCCGGGCACTCACATTTTTTCGTAGCTCAGTTTGACAAGGGACTCCAGTTAGGGGACTATTGCTCGTTCTGGATATTGACTTGTTCTACAGGTTCACGATTAGCTTCGGTTTTCAGCTAGGGGAAAACAATCCAAATAAAGTTGACAATAAGATAGAAAGTGGACGACAAAAAACACAACAAAAAAAACGTTACAGTTGGAGAGGTGCTATAAATTCCCTACGACAAAAGCCATCCTTCCAAAAATGTGTAGGGGTGGTAACAGAAAAAGATTTACAACCCCCAACAAACTGATGGCTTTGTCTGAAGCAGGGATGGCTGGTGTGCTAGTTTCATTCTACACCAAGCGTTTTTCAAACACCTAACCATCTTCACTAAATTTATGGGCTTATTCTTTTATTTCTTATTCGAAAGTGTTAAATATCTATAAATAAAATAAATGTTTAAAAGTAAGTCCAATAAATAATAATAAGACTTGTGAATAAGCTTAATACATTGCAAAAACATATGATAAATTATAAATTTCATAAAATTATAAATTAATGAAAATTATATAAAAATCAACAAAAAAACAAAAATAATAAAGACATTTTTTTTTCTTTTTTAAATAAAATTTTTATGGCATATATTATTGAATTAAAAAGTAATAGAGATCAGGGACAAATATTTAAAACTCGATAAATTTATAGTTTAACGTTCCCACACTTTTTTTTATTAATAAAAACTTTTTATTTTAAAACATAATTTTATTCTTAACGAAATAATTATTTCGGACAATTATTGTTGAACAATTTCCAAACAATTTATTATGCTGTTATCATTGTCTCAAAATATTTGAGGCATTCTCATCATGCATTCACATCATTCTACATTAGTTATTATTATTAATCATCCATCACAATTCATCATTATTAAATATTGTGTATTGTTTTATTTTTTTATTTATTTATTGGGAGTTTCCACTAATACTGGGTTTCCTTAACCTAAACCTTGGATGGCTTCTTTCCATAATATCCTATCTAAGGTCCATTCTTTCCGTAGATCATGACCTATCATGGATTACTCCACTTTGTTATCCCAGGTCTCCCTCGTCTTCTTCTTTCCCTAGTTTTCCATAAGTGGAAGTTCTTTGGGTAGTCTTCCTTCAGGCATTCTTTTCAAATGGCCATACCAGTTCAGGAGGCGTTTTGTTGTGTGTTGTATAATAATATATTTCTGATGTTATAAATCCTTTCAGTCCTGATGATGGCATGCAAGCTTGGGTTGATATAAAAATCCTAAAAACTGACTATCTATCACCACTAGCGGATCCAGGATTTAATTTTAGGGGGGGGGCTTCAGCCTGGAAGCTTTCTTTTCATAAAAATAACGATATTTACTTTGGAAAAACAGAAATAAACTAACTACCTATATGAAATGGTGTTTAAGTGATTCCTTAAGTCCTTTTAAATGTAATTAAACCAACAATAATACTTTAAGAGGTTTTTTTTTTTCCCATAAAACGTGGTTATGTTTTACCATTTTGGGGGGAGGGCTTCAGCCCCCCGTAGATCCGCCCGTGTCTATCACCCAGAATAAGAAAATAAATAAATAAAATCTGAAAATGTCCATTTTTAGCTACTATGAAAAATACTTCCAACAGTGTATCGTCGGTTTATAGCAAAGAGTCCTTAAGTGACATTTCACAACCTTAACTAAATAAGAACTTTGAACAATTTTTCCTTTATGAAATTGGCAAATTGTGTTTTTTTTTATAACTATCTTAAAAATATATATAAGGGTTTGTTACATTTTCATGCCCTTACAATGTTTTTGTATCGATAAATAAAGTCGAATTTCATAAAAACATTTTTGAAGTTAACCTATATCAAAAATGTATTTATTGGCTTTTTGCAACTAACCGATGATGTATTTATTGCTTAGTATTATTTTCTTTCAAATTACTTGGTGCCTTCATTCTACAGCTTATCAACTAGAATAAACAGTTATTAATTATTTTTTAGATTTTGAAAATTTTATTTACGAGATTACACCGTTTCACATTCATCCTTCCCACAATGAAAAAAAAAAATGTAAATAGTACAGTGTCAACCTTTTTCAACATAAGTTTAGTCTACAATTATAATTGTATCTAATGCTTATTAGAGGGGGACAGTAGCGGGTCCAGGATTTACTTTTCGACGGAGGACTTTTTTTTACTTTCACTTACGTATATATGTAATATATAGTTAGCGTAAGTATTGCGATCGTGAAAATTTTGGAATCTCAGTTTTAAACGGAAATACATGTTTTGAGGTCCCCTGAGTTCAAATAACCAAGTGTCGCAAAATGGTGTGTGTGTGTGTGTCTGTCTGTGTGTGTGTGTTAACAGTCTAGCTCATAAACGAAACTGATATTAAATATTTAAGGTTTGTATATGGGCCGGATGTGACAGCAACTTTTTAGTTAAAATCGGCTAACCGGAAGTGCCACTTTATATGAACGCTGAAACACATTTTTTTATTTCAGCACGGGAGAACAAAAAAAAAAATTACCTATATCAAATTATATTTAAGTGGTCCTTGAAGGTCAGTTAAATAAATTAAATAATAATAATAAAACAGTTGTTATAGAAACAAAAATGCTTTTAGAATTTTTTTTTAAATTATTTTTTCTTGATTTTACAGTTAGTAGCTTCATGTGCATTATGATCTAAAAGAAGAACATATTGTAACGATTTAAGCATTTAGCTTAGATCACTTACATAAACAAATATGGACCTATGAAAAAATAATTATTTTTCTGTTTGTGGGGCTACGGACCAAAAGCCCTCTCCCGTGTGCAGATCCGCCAGCGGAGGATTATAATCCATTGGCAAGAATTAACTGGCGCTGTTGGGAAGAGTTTGGGAAACGCCCCGCCAGCTCTCCTTGTTGAAGACCGTCCCGCTGGAAAGGCCTTCCCCCCCTGGAACCCCCACCCTACCTCGGCCCGCCCGTTCTCACAGGGAAGGACCCCTCTAACCGGATCCCACTGTTTAAAAAACGAACTATAACACGGCAGGTCCTCTCCAAACAAAAATTCACTTTTCGCT